ATTTCTATTTATGATAAAAATGCAATACAAAATTAATAATAATAATAATAATAATTGTTATTTGCTAAAGCATTTAAATTTATTTTTAATCATATTATTACTTTTGTTATTTTCAACTTCTATCTTAATTATAATATATCTAAAATTTAAATAATTAAAATAAAAAAACATTTCTCATATATAACACATGTATTTAATTACTAGGAAATTTAACATGTACGAAATATACCCATACTACTAAATACCCTATTTTCAGGATATTTACACGTTTTTGTTGCTTTCGGCTGATCTAAGGCTAAGATATCGATATATTGGTGCACATTGACTCCATCGACGTCTTTGCAAAAGAAGTCAATGACCGAGTCGTGGGCTCGTGGCAGTGATAAGTCGCGTTTGGTAGAGTATGAATCGGTCGTGGTCCAGGTTGAGAAATTTGGCGTATTGACTGAACTGTGTAAAGAAGACTGTGTTAAGGGTAAGCATAAGTTTGAATTTTCTTCTACTCCATTAATTTCGTGATAACGCGGTGTGTGCAGACTATCAGTCTCTAGGAGTTTCGACCGAGTCCGGATCTGCTAATATCAACAATTGATTAATTTGTTCCACCCGACCCATTACATGAGAAGGAAAGTGGCGAGACACATGATATGATAGTGATAGTGGTGGAACCCACATCTCAAGACGCAAATGCTCATAAAGGTCCTTCAAAATGGAGGACTTGGAGCAACCGAGCAAGGTTTTAAAAATCGGATTAGATACGGAATCGTATTGGGGACTAGTTTTTGGGTCGAATTGTCTGATCGTTCTATTTGAATGGATGATCTATTTTGATTTATCATATAAAAATAATTAAAATAAAAATGATAAAAAATCTTATCTGAATCGATGGATTGACAGTTAGATCGTTTGGGTTAGCAGATCATTGATCAAATTAATGATTGTTGGCTTAGGAGTGGTTTTGAAGTAAAACAAAACCAATTATTTGGTTGATTGTCAAATCAATTGATCTGACCATCCAATCTGGTCCAGTTTTCAAAACCATGACTTAGAGACTATTTTAAAGGAAAAATAAGCAAGTATTTAAGTCTTTTCCTTTCTTCTTCTAAACTGTTTTTTTTTTTCTTGAATGAAAATAATGTAATGGAGTTTTTTTTTTTTCTGTTTCTTCAGAGTGTCTTAGGCTTTTGTTATTGGATTTGGGTTTGTGTTGATTATAATGTATAACTCTGTTGTGCTAGTTCTGCAATAAATCGTAGATATTCTTATAGTAATATATAGGAATAAGGTAACACCATAAAATATTTGAGATCAAATCTGAAATGCTGTTGCTAGTTGCTACTAGGTTTGGGGGGTGGGTGGCTGTGGTGGATAGACTACCTCCAATTGTATAGTTTTATGAAGAAGAAGTGAAATAAAAAAGTGGAATATACTGCCTTTACTAAAATCATTCTACCAACTATGGGGCACTCATGTTATTCCTGTTCCAGCTAATTATGTATTCTTTATTACTAAAATACATCAACATGAAAGGGTTCTTTTTTTTTGGAAACCTAGGTAACCTAACTTTTGCCAATTGTTAATTATCAAAAAAGTAGCTTAGCTTTTGCAAGTTCAAATCAGCCCCCCAAAATGTCCCACAGCACATCTTCGCCCTGTATTGAGAACATCTCCCAATGATAACATCATCATTTCTAGGATTATCATCGGAAGATGTTCTCAATACAAGACAAAAATGTACTGTGGGCCATTGTGGGGGGCTGATTTGGTCTGAACTTTTGCATTTTTAGGTTGTGAAAACGTTTTATTTTATACCAACAGTGTCATTTCTCTTTCATATATAATTCAACTTGCCACCTTTTATCACTTCCCACAAATATTATTCTATCAAGTATCAATAACACCCTCAAACTAGACATTTTTTTTTGTCAATTTATCCTTCAAACTTCTAATTCAACTATAATTACTTTAAACAGCTGTTCAATCAGCAGGGAAAGACAGAAGCTGTCTTTTTTCAATTGTCTTCATGTGCATGACAAACTTTACAAGCTGTGTGAAAGGAACCCATGTCATTTTAATATATTTTTGTTTCTATTAAGATAAAAAGTTTTTTGGGAGAATGACTATTCAATACATCTTAAGAATTCTTTAGTTTTATCATATAGTTGGGGTAGGTGTCAGCTCAAAATTGATATTAATACACGGGCAGGTATTAGTATTTTAGGGTGAATATATTTATCATTTTGAATTGTATAAAATTATGATAGAATTCAAAATTTTACGGTGTGATGCAATGTAATTTTTCGAAGTTGTTTTATATACCTTATTTTTTTGAGTAATTCCTTTTACTCACTTAGAGCCTTAGAGGTTCTATTTTTCCCTACAATAGGATTTGGGTAGGAGAATGCTCTGAACCAGACATCTTAATTCTTTTTGGAAGCACCCAAGCATATTTTAAACAATCTTTTGCCGTAGAGTTTACTTTGACAGTTTGCAGTCAAAAAATAAAATAAAATAAAAAGAGTCTACTTTGACAGTTCTGCCCGAGAGTGGTCAAATTATTTATTCTAAAAACTGAGTTAGTTACTTATCTATATTATTTTTGTTTAATTTATTCGGATAAATGTATCTTTTGGGACTTTTTTACCATTTCGATATATATATTTTTTTCAAATACCCACTACCTAAAAAACTTACCCAAGTCTGAAAATATGTAAAAAATCAATTTTACAATGGATTCTACATGTTTATGAAATAAAATGGGTAAATTAATTAATGGAATCACAATCCCATTGAACAGGGCCTAAATTATAGTGTTGTTTTATTGTATTGATATTATATAATCGCAGAAAATAAATCTATTATACAAATAATACCCGAGATTAAATCATGGTTGATGAATAACAGGAATATACTGAAATCAGGTACAGGAGGCGAGTCGAAAAGCATGGATACTATACCACCAGACTCAAATTAGTTTGTCCGTATCATCCGTGTGGGCTAGAGAGCATTAATATAAGCAGATTGATGTGGTGTCCAGGGGCTCGAAAAAGAGACCGGATTTAGTCCTTGCAAAATTTGTTTTCACATTACACTCCTACAATGGGAATATCTCTTTATTTGTACCTTTTTCATTTTTCATTTATGGAGAGATGTTTTCGATGCATGGCTGCAAAACGCTGTGAGCAAAGTTTGGTCTCTCAAGCCCAGCCATTCTTGCCATTTGAATTTGATGTCATTAATTAATATGAGGAATAATTAATAGGCTTAAAAAAATTATAATGTATTATGGTAGATGGAAGCAATTTTTACCTTTTAGTGAGTTTGTATTTGTTTGGAGGGCTCAAGTGCAGTAGCTTGTGTTTTTCCGAGCTGGGCCTCTATGGACAGCCTATAAGATACGTTTGATGAAAAATCCAGAGACCCCAACTCAGCACTTAAAGGGCTGCTCACAAGTTTGTTCTAGTCTCTTTGAATGGTTTATCTAGAGTGCTTCAAATCAATGATCAAAGTATTGATATCGGACAATTTAGATACGAATATATTATGGAAATGCATGGATGAAAGATGTCAAAATGCTTGAATACCTTAGGAAATTTATACACACCACATAAGTACATTAGTAATAGTAAATCTAAAGTTGAATTATCTGTAATTTAGGTATAAATACATGAGAATGTAGACTTTAATAGGTTATATGAAGAGAAAAAATACAATCAACAATACACGACTTTAATATGTTATTTTTATAACTTAAAGTTCTTATTTTTTGGGAAAATGAAATCTTAAATTATCTATTTAAGTTTTTATAATTATGATTTTTATTTTTTATTAAAGTTCAAAAAAATCTAATAATGGTCAATACACAATTTTGTCAAACTAGGCATTGATACACTTCCATATCAATGTGTATTGAATTATATCCATTGATACAGTGCGATATGACCTGATATGAAGCCGTATTGTATCGATACACACGACATAATTACAGTGTATTTCACATATACAAATATGATATGCCATGTATGAAAGTAACATATCAATACTTTAAACCTTGCTTCAAAGTTGAAAGTAATTAAACCAACATAGCTGAATTTTTAGCTCAGCCCTCCCAAATGGGCCCTTAGGGCGGTAGGGCACAAATACACCTTTGAAAAGTTAAAATAAAGAAGAAAATGTTTACACTTAGTTTGGGACAAAATATAAATCCAATGCAAAAATATAGTATACAAAGTTTTGCATTGTAGATATTTTATATTTGTACTCTTCTCAAATTGAGACTTAGAAATACAAATATAAATATGAAATCTTGTATTTTGAATTATTTTATATGTATTTATACTTATGTATATATATATATATATATTTATACTTGCAGTGTACGGTGTACATATTTGTATTTGTGTTTGCACTCTTCATTGACCTTGTACAAAGAGGTCAAAGGGACAAGCCCAACAAAAATCTTTCAACGCTAACGAACGTCCGCTATGGGGAGAGCAATGTTACCATATTAGCACAAGCAAAATCATTTGTGTCTGAACCGTCTGGTGTTGCTGAAATTGGGACCCGGTGACCGGTGTCGCTGACAATAATAAATGGGGACGGGTTCGAGTGTCATCAGTCAGAGTTCGATGATGATGATGCGCGGTTATACTATGAATCTCCTTTTTCACCCATAATTCACGGTAAAAGGCTTTGCGCGAATAACGTGTGCAACTTCTCTTTGCCTGTTTACCCTTCGCATCCAAAGTCTGGTGGAAAAAAACAGCCTACAAAAATAAAATACTCAATGCTTCCTTTTGTTCTCACTCTCTCTCTCCGGATTGGTCTGGATGGCGTGTTATTCGTTCCAGCAAAGTCATCGCTTCGAGTAGCAGCTCTTCTGGTCCAAATTTACTGTTGTTTTTGTTATTTTCTAACAAAATTCTGACTGAAGGTTCATCGAGATTTTTTCTTACTTTGCAATTTTTCATGGATATTTTTGCATTAGCAGGTTAGTTTCTTGTGCTTCTTTATTTATTTATTTTTTCTGAGCTCGAAGTAGCAAAAATCACTCCTATATCCCGATTAATTGCAATCTTGGTCGAGTTTCGAAGTTAATCTCGATTACTTCTCTCACCTGAATTGCTTAATTTTCTTGCCACAAAAGGGTCAATTGCTTAATTTCCGTCAATTCAGAGTCTTTCTCTTTTGCTTGTTAGGTTTTAATTTTTTGTTGGTTCTTCCGCCGAGCTATTGTAGTGATTCTCCTTGAATTGTCAACTGTAAGATAGGATTCTCGCTAGGTGTCATCCGTCTCTGTGGTATTGTAAACTTCACATCAGTCTTGTGATGGTAGTCTGGTAGATAGTTGAGAGCCTATCTCTCTGGTAGAATCTTCTCCGTGATGGATTGTCGAGTTTCACGTGGACATTATGATATTAGGGTCTGAAGGCTTTTGTTTAGTCTCAATTTTGGATGCCATTACTAAAAAGAAATGAATGCTGGTTACTAGCTTATTTTTCCTGCTAAAAGAGATGGCAACAAATACCATGATTAATGTTTCACTTGTTCCGGCTTCAGAATTACTTGATCGGATAATAGAGACGATAGCCGAGACTGCAGAGGCTGCTAAGGATGTGCTTGTTGAGAAGGAAGGTTTTGCAAAGCTGTCGAGTTTCTTGGAAAAGGTTGTTCCTATCCTAAAAGAATTGACCAAGAAGAACATCAGTAACTCTGAGAGCCTAAATAATGCCATTGAAAATTTCGATCGGGAGGTCAAAGCTGCGAAGCAGCTAGTTCTGGAGTGCAGAAAGAGAAACAAAGTCTATCTCTTTCTCAATTGCCGGAGAGTAGTGAAGCGTTTAGAGCAAACTACGAGAGAGATCAGCCGGGCTCTGAGCTTTATCCCTTTGGCATCACTAGATCTCTCATCTAGTATAAATGAGGATATCAGCAACCTATGTGACAACATGCAGAGGGCAGAGTTTAAGGCAGCTGTAGCAGAGGAAGAGATATTGGAGAAAATTGAATTGGGTATATTAGAGAGAAATGTTGATCGTACTTACGCAAACAATTTGATGGTTCTCATTGCTGAAGCTGTTGGGATATCAACTGAACGCTCAGCACTGAAGAAGGAATTTGAAGATTTCAAAAGAGAAATAGAAGACACGCAGGTGAGGAAAGACCAGGCCGAGGCTATACAAATGGATCAGATCGTTGCATTGCTTGAAAGAGCTGATGCCACTTCATCCCCTAGGGAAAAAGAGATGAAATACTTCACCAAGAGGAAGTCTTTAGGTAATCAGCCATTGGAACCTCTCCAGTCATTTTATTGCCCAATCACTCGAGATGTTATGGTGGACCCTGTTGAGACCTCCTCTGGACAGACATTCGAGAGAGATGCAATTCAGAAGTGGTTTGCAGATGGGAACACCATTTGCCCCCTAACCATGATCCCCTTAGACACAGCAATTTTACGGCCCAACAAAACTCTACGGCAATCAATTGAAGAATGGAGGGATAGAAACATCATGATTACAATTGCTTCCATGAAACCCAAACTCCATTCAGATGATGAACAAGAAATTCTTCATTCCTTGGAACAACTGCAGGATCTTTGCATGGAGAGAGACTTGCACCGAGAATGGGTGACACTGGAGAACTACATACCAATTCTTATTGGATTGTTATCCACAAAAAATCGTGAGATAAGGAACCATGTTTTAGACATCCTTTGCATACTGGCAAAGGATAGTGATGACACTAAGGTACTTACACTTCATCCCTGACTAGACTGGATTATGTCTCCTTTTTCATTATCAAGGAAGAAGAGAAGAAATGGCCCTTCTTTTTGCATCCTCGTATAGTACACAATTTGGACACATTTTCTCTGAAAAAAACCAATCAGTACACATATTATATACAGATTTGTTAACTATGGTCATTCTAACTGGAAGTTGCAACCTCGTTAAGTTATCATGAATTGAAGGAACAATTGATTTTCCTTATCTTTACGTGTTTTTGTCAACTAAATATGTGTTTTGCAGGAAAGAATTGCTGAAGTGGAAAATGCAATTGAAGCTATTGTGCGATCCCTTGCTCGTCGTATTAGTGAAAGTAAGCTTGCTGTGGCATTGCTGTTGGAACTTTCAAAAAGTAATATGGTACGTAACTACATTGGGAAAGTACAGGGATGTATACTCCTCCTGGTGACTATGTCAACGAGTGATGACACTCAAGCTGCCAAAGATGCAAAGGAACTCTTGGAGAATCTTTCATTCCTTGATGAAAATGTTGTACAAATGGCCAAGGCAAATTATTTCAGGCCTTTGTTGGAGCGCCTTTCTTCAGGTACTCTTATTTATCATGCTGTTCCTTTCAGAATTTAAATAGAAGATTATAGTACTCTATTAAAGAGGCCACTTCTTAGGTTGACAAGTGTGAGAGAGAGCTTCCACTTTGTTCTAAAATGCCAAAGGTTGGGTCTGTATCCAGTCAACCCCTCCTAAAACCCTTGATAGCTGGGATTAGCATTGGGTAACTTTTTTTCCTAGTACTCTGACATGCTATAGTGGCTATAATACATCCTGAGACATTTGGTGCAGTTGGAAGAGGACATTATTTCCCTTCTCTTTTTTTTATTGTTCTTTTTCCTTTCCTTTAATGGTGAAGTGGAGTAAAAGCTATCCATCCTCTTTATCTAGTTGTAGTTTGATTTTTGAATAAATCCTTTGATGATGGTTAAGAAAAAGAATAAATCAACAACATTGATGGATGCTGCTGAGCAATCTTTAAAAGACAGGAAATTTTCAGGCAACACATAATTGTTACTGATAGTGAATTAATGATCAATTGCGATGATTTGATGACATACAACAGAGACCAATGATGGAACCATTAGAACTTCTGAGTCAGCTTGTAGGCTGTAAGATAAAGGTAAAGTGAAGATAGTGTGGATTAAATAAGTGAGGGGAACTCTAATGATGTGGTCCCCAACAGAAATAACTGAAGAACAAGATTTGTCTAGCTAATCTCCAACAATCAAGATAGGGCTCTTATGATAACGGTAGTGGTTACTTCTTACTTTTTTTTTTTTTTCAATATGCTTAGGGATGTCAGTGGATCAGATTGAATGGTAAAACTGCATTGTCCTGACCCTATCGGGTTAGGTTGAGTTGGCTTTAATCAGGTTTTAGGTTGGGTTCAGGTTGATGTCAGCCCATGCCAAGCCCGACCCATTGACATAGTAACATTGAAATATTTGTAAATATAGCCTTGGTTCAATATGGGTACACTATTTGTGGGACGGGTCAGGATGGGTTTGGCATCCCATTTCCTTTAGTGAGTTCAGAGTAATTTTTGGTCAGGTGGGTTGAGGTGGACCATACCGAACCTGATCTGTTGACATTATCTATATCAGATATTCCTGTATTTCCTAAATATGAATAATAAACCAAATAATCTTCGAACTTTACTCGTTAACATTCAAATTCTCTTATATCATCATTTCTTCCTACAATACCTCCATTGCTTAGTGCCATGTTGACTTCTTGGGATGATGAGCATGAAAATGTGGGTTGAAGTCTGAGAGCAGTCAGTTTGTGTAAAAGATGCTGGAAGTTAGTCCATGAACTCCATAATGGTATTTTTTAGCACCAATATTATTAATATCCTTACTAAATATTGGGCTGGTTAAACATAGAGCCATGTATCTTCATTAATAATGAAGCACTATCAACCAAACCATTCAATAAAGAATTAATTCAAATCAACATGATGTTAGGATAGTGTGTGTGGGTGGGTGGGAGGCTATCACAACCTGGTTCCAACTATATGAGGTTGGCTACATTAATTCTCTTCAACCATTCCTCTGTCCATTCGTTGCCATATCTATTGTTAAATTTATGGGGTGCCAAATTATTTCTCACTACTTTGCCCAACGTCATTTTTGTCTGCTCCTACCTCTTCTAGATTTTCTCAACTTGCAACAGATCATCTCTTCTTGTGCCATAGATGGTTTTATATACACATGACAGAACCATCTTAGTGTACTTTCCCTTGTCTTATCTACTTACCTAGTTCTTTTTTTTTTCCACTCATCCATCTGAACTTTAGCATTGTAGACATTTTGGCTCCGTTTGGTTGCATGTAGAGGAAAATGATTGGTTTTCTAAAAATTACCATTTTATGGTGTTTGATTGCATGTAAAATGGCCAAAGAAAAAATTAGGTAGTATATGTAGCATTAATTTTAGCTTTCCTTGAGTCATCTTTCAAATATAGAGGGTTGGTTCTCTTAATTGAAATGCAATAACACCCATATATTTCTCAGCCATTCACACTTATTTTCCACATTAAAACTGATGTAACCGTTTCTGGTCACATACCAATTTTTTTGTGATGTACCAATTTTTTGGCTAAGTACCTCGTCATTTGACTTGCTCCCAGGTGGCTTGTGACTTAGAGGATGATGGAGCTCCTTGGTGGCGAACTGCCTGGTGATGAGCTACTTGGTGGCGAACTCCCTGATGGTGAGCTACCTGGTGACGAGCTCCCTAGTGGAGAGCTACCTGGTGACGAGCTCCCTGGTGGTGAGCTACTTGGTGACGAGCTCCCTGGTGGAGAGCTAC